TTTTCTCATCTTAGTTCATTCTTTCTGGAAATAATCCCCATACACAGACATGTGCTTTATTACTCTCCTCGGTGCTTCTCAATCCAATCAAGTTGATAGTCATAATTAATTATCATAAGTCCATCTCTTGTCAACTTTGAAACCCATCACATCTCCTCAAATACAAATAATGCCAAGGTCACAATTCTACCTAATGTGATACATCAGATTTTTTCCTACAATTTCAGCATTGCTCAAAAGTCCCAAGTCTCTACTGACATTCAAGGCAAACTCCTAGGTGTGATCGCCTGTAAAATACAAAAAAAAAAATCACTTCCTTACAAAATACGATGATACATATTAAACATTCCTATTCACAAATAGTAAGAATAACATTACAGACAGGAGAGACTGGATGAATGAATGACCAAACCCAGCAGAAAAAAAATCGTTTAATTCTGTAGCTCCAAGTACAGAATCGCTGAGCCACAGAGATCTCTGGCAGCCCTGGCCCCTATGGCCTTTCTCGTTGAATCTTACTGACCTTTCTTGGGCTGGCGTAGTCACAGCAGATACTACATGTTCTTGATATCGCTAACTTCATGACGTTTCAACTGTATTTCAGCTTCATGCTAACACCTTCACACACTTACCTTTCAGGGATTGCTCCTGGGGATTCTGACCCTGCTGCATATCTCCTGGTCTCCCTGCCTTTCCTTTGAAATCTGGGAAGAGGCCTCCAAATCACACAGCACTTACACTCTAGGTACGTACAGAACTAGGATCAAATCCATAATACTAAGGTCTGCTGCCAGCTTGAGCAGCAGCGGAAATCACTTCAACCACTGCAGCAGCATATTCAGAGAGCCTAGATGGTTGAATGCAGGGAAAGGGACATATTTCATTAGGGGGCCCTGTGACAGAAGAGCCCTGGATTTCTCGTCTCCCAACAAATTTTGGTTTTATTTTTTTTTCCAAGTAAGTTTACGCCTTATACGTTTTAGCCTATGCTGACTGGGCCCAGGCAATTCCTGAGATGTTCTCAAGAAATCTTTCCTGTTATCCTGTTGAAGAGCTTGTGACTTCTTTTTAGTAGGTCTAATCTCTTCAGTAACCGCACCTTCCTTGGCCCCAATGTTACCCAAAGTTCATTTCTGGTTAAAATGTAATTTTTTCATACCCATCTTGTGTGAAATTTGCTCCCAATTCTCACCATAAATCTAGACAAGAGGAGCTGGCAATATCCATGCCAGGGTCTGACTATCAGACTGCCTTGAAATTTCCTCTCCCAGACTAATTAGTCTATTATCTCTTTTTTTTTTGGTTTTTGTCTTTTGGGGACAGGGTCTCCCTACAGCCCCAGCTGTCCTGGAACTCACTATGTAGACCAGGATGGCCTTGAACTCCAGAGATCCACCTGCCTCTGCCTCCCAAGTGCTGGGACTACAGGAGTGCACCTCCATACCCAGCTAGTCTACTATTTTTAAACTCAGCTTTTCATAAAGTCTTAGGATCAAAAGTATTTTTTCCAGAAGTCAAACACGTATGAACACTGTTATAATTCGCAATGAAATCCTTTTTTCCACATGATGTCTCATGAGGATGGTCTTTACTATCCCCACATCTACTTGCTTCCTGGTTTTTCAAGCTCCCACCAGAGCTGCATATTAAGTTGGGCACATAACATTCTAAGCTCTCTTTAGCCCACTTCTCTAAACTTTTCCAAATTGCTTTTCTGTAGACTAGTTCCAAAGGTTTAAGACTCACATGGACAAGTTTACTCACAGCCTCTCTGACTTTTCCTTCTTGGGCTCCTCCATAGGTTCCTCATTATCTCATTATCTCTGTCAGTCTTAATGATAGTATAACTTCCTGGCTGGATACACAGCATGATTCATTCACACTCTTCACCATTTTAAGGGGTGTTCATTTCTAATCTCAATTTGTTACAACAGTCTAAAAATTCCACAATTTGTATCTCTAGTTTTATCTTTCTCCTGATCTTAAGATTTTATAGCCAAACGTTATTAGAGCTCTACCTGTGTGACATATAATCTTATTAAGCATATGTTGTTCAAAATTAAAATTTCAGACTTACCTAAATTTTCTCTAAGTTCCAAACAGTTCACTTAATTTGTAGCATCATAGTCAGATTTCATTAGGTTACCTACAACCTTGACAACTTCTGTTCTTTGTTACTGTCAACTTGTCTGCATTTGCTGCTTATTTCTTCAGTGTGTCTCCCCTGCTCCACCTCAGTCCACTGTTTTGCATTTTAGAACTTTATTTCTCATCAAGATTTCAGCTGTCTGCTAAACATTTTATCTAATTCTAATCCTGTTTCTTTTCAATACATTCTTTATGTACTAACTAGGTTGTCAAATAGAAAACTAATCACTTCATTCTCTTACTTAAAATGTCTTCCACTCCTTGTAAGTGTTTACTTAGTTCTCTGTGTATGCTGTCCTTCATTTCTTCTCCTTGTGTCTACATATAATTTTCATGAGTACATTCTTCATATATGGTAATATAAAACTGCAAAAATCCAAGCAATCAAGAACTTTGGTGTTGCCTTATTAAAGAATTGTATGTTCAACCTGACCCACAAGACTGAGTTTGATGACTCTCCACTACCTTCTCACAACTGCATAGATCTTTGGCATTTCAGTTATAATATTAATATTATTATTGTAATTATCTAATTAGTCTTTCCCCCTATTATACTGTGAAAACAGAGAGATTATCTCACTTGCACATACCCACAACTTATTCCAGATCCATGCATGTATTAACTCAGTAGTGCTTCCTTACCCACAGTTTCGTTCAAGAATATATATATATATATATGTTGTATAACCAAATATTTGGTGATTGAACAAACACTTATCTATCATTCATTTAAAGCTGCCTTCCAGTAGAGCATGGGCGCTCATCTCTGGCTATACTACTGAAGGTGCTAGTTAAGCTCAGTGCATCACAAAGCAAAAACAAAACAAAAAGACATGAAAGTGGGAGGAAAATTCGTAAGGATAGAGGGCTTAATTGGGATATGATGGGAACGAGAGAGAGAGAGAGAGAGAGAGAGAGAGAGAGAGAGAGAGAACAAAATGCATGATATACATGAATGAACTCATCAAAGAATAAGTTTAATTATAAAACAGAATGTATCTTCACCTATATCAACGTGTCTCTATATTTTTTGCCCATATACTATATGCTCCTTAACAATTTCCCTTGTTGCTTTAGGATACACTACTGTCTAAGCTCATTTCACATCATCTTTCCACACTATCTTCTCAACTTTTCCACTCTTTCTATCCTCACATTCTCTTTCTTTCATCATCTCTCTGAGATAAACATATATATATATATATATAAAATCTTTTCTATGCCCTACTTCTTGCTTCTATATTCCTTTCCTCTTTTATTCAGCCTTTATCCCCCACTCCGTTCTTTTCTTCTATGTCTCTTATCTCCATCACTATTCAACTTTTTTCTCAAGTTCTCATTTGTTAGCCTGATGTCATTCCTGTCTGTCTCACAAATTCCAATAGGAATGACATCAGTAAATAACTAATTTGAAATACTGAGGGACTGTCCTAGTCTGTTCTTCATTGCTGTAACAAAACACTCTGACCAGTACCAACTTGGGGAGGAAAGGGTTTATTTGTCTTACATCTCCCAGGTCACAGTTCATGAGGGAGCCCAAGGTAGGAACTCAGGGCAGGAACCTGGAAGCAGGAGATGGAGCACAGGCCTGGAGGAATGCTGCTTACTGGCTTGTTCCCCTGGCCCCTGCTCAGCCTGCTTTCTTATGCAACACAGGCCCACCTGCCCAGGGGTGGCCCCACCCACAGTGGGCTGGGCCCTAATTCCCGAGTTGAGGTTCCCTCAACCCAGGTGTGTCAAGTTGACACTAAAGCTATCCAGCACAGGGACTAACTTACAGGCAAGCACAATTATTCACCATATATTCACCAGGCATGCATTGATCTTCTTGTACAAAATACATTGTACAAAATAATAAGCATACAAATTTGAAATAGACACAGAGCCTACATTGAAGCATTACATTTATCTGTTCAATACAGATTATCTCAGTCACTCAAAATCGCCACTCGTTAATGTAGGCAAAAGTTTCAGGAACTGAAAACTGAAAACAGAGAAGCAATCAAAAACACAAAAAGCAGGCATGAGAACCAAGAAAAGGTTTCAGTGTTTGAGCAGAGAATACTTTTACACTGGAAATGTTTCCAAAATTATTCTTTTTTACACCAAAATTCATTATCACCTAATAACTCAAATGGTAATCATAAGCATGAAATATATGAAGTTTTGATAGGTTTTATGCATTGGAAGGTAGAAAAGTATAAAATATAATCTAAGTTATTTGGGAAATTCACTCATATCAAATTTCTGCACCCCACGCAATGTGGTATAAAACGAATTTCAATTTTGTATGTTCTAGAAAATATCCATCAATATCTCTTGATTTTTACAACTCTGTACCATAGGTCTGTTTTATTGCTATAGTTAAACCTAGCACACTCAGATGAGTACATTGATTATGCTTCTGCAAATCTTTAAGTTTGTATACTTAAATGTCCTTGAACACATGAGTCTGTGTGTTAGCACACACAAGCCTTTGAATATGTACAACATAAACGTACATTTGTCCATGTCTCAAAATGTTAACATTTGTAACTATTTATATGTCAATATAGAATATGAATGTTTACACATGTTAAGAAATATGTATATATAATTTGTGTATAGAAATATATAAATTTGAAAGATATAATGCTCATATATACTATCCAACTACATTCTAAAACCCTATAACCTTGAAATAATATATATGAAATGATTGAAGTAATGTACATGTATTAATGAGCATATATATGTATGTATATATAAAATGATGAGCCTAAAAGAATTTTCAGTGCATATCCCAAAACCCTCTGCTCTCAGTACCACATCCATCTTCACTGCAGGCTGGGTGGTAGCGACCACTATCTTACCTCATTGTATAGAGAAGGGTCCCATTGTCTACCAGTCTGAGCAGTTTGTTGGGTGTGGTCATATTGTGAGCCACTGATTTCTTGCCATTGTGGAAGAAGGTATCAGGGGTCCAGATCTTGCTAGCCAGAAGATTGTTCAATGGAAGGATCTTCATGGGTCCATCAAATTTCAGTCTTTCATCGTGCCATGTCTGTCTAAAAAATACATCAATAGTATACTCCTAGAACAGAGAGAGAGAGAGAGAGAAAGAAAGAAATAGAGAGAAATAGAGAGAGAAACAGAGAAACACAGAATGATGAAAGGTCCACAGTGCCCTTCCAAATATTAGCGACTTGAAATATTTCCTCTGATGTAGAGGAGAAGTCTATTAAAAGTAGTTACTGATGAGTAAGGCAAATAATAAGCACTGAAAAAGATTGTCATCATTTAATCAATAAGTACACCATATCTGATGATACATATACCTAATATAATATTTTATTGAGGATGTCACTGCCAATCCTGCCCCACACATAATATAAGTTTCACACAAGACTCTGCCTTATGGGAAGGAAAACGATGCCTTCTCTGTACTGTGACATGTCTAATAAGAAATAAATCTTATCATTATTGCTTAATGATCTTATATGAACATCAAAGGTCATTACAACAATAACCATAAAAGCAAACCTTCTATTTAATACAAATTTCACCAGAGCCTCAAAGAAATATCTTTGAGAAGTTAGGTTGCTATCATCTTTAATGAGTAATTAAATCTTCCAGACAAATATGATGAAAAGAAAACAAAAAAGAAAAATGAGAAAATGAACAAAAAGTTTCTTAGTGAAATGGATAAAAGTAGTAATAAAAATGAAGAAAAATTTCAAATGCACTGTTAATCTAAACCAGTGAAAATATTAACTGTTCTCGGTTTGGGCAGTAGCCAAGTAATTGATTTGAGTACATGTTCTTGTAGGTACTAATTATAAAATCTTGAGTGTGTTTAATATTTGAAAAGACTGAGGAGTAACTGAAAGCAGACTGAAACGGTCAATAAATTTTCAAATGACAACAATGGGTCAAATTAAGAGGTTTATTTCTTTTTTGCCTTTGAGTATGTGCATGTTTGAGTGTATTCATGTGTATGCATGGATGGGCTTGTGGATGTCAGAAGATAATCTGAGGTGTTGGTCCTCAGATGTCTTCCAACTTTTGTTTGAGACAGGGTCTCTCATTGGCCTGGAACTTCACCAAGTAGGCCAGGCTAGCTGGCCAGTGATCTCCAGGGGTCAACCTGTGTCTGCCTCTCATCCAACATTCGTCTCATTGAAAATCCAACTGATGGAATTACAAGTATATACCATCACACTCAACTTTTTATGTGGGTTCAGCAGATCCAAACTCAGGTTTTCATGCTTGTGAGGCAAGATCCTTCCTAACTCAGCAAAAACCCCAAGTTTGTTTTTTTGTTGTTGCTGTTGTTTGGGGTTTTTTGTTGTTGTTTTTGTTGTTGTTGTTGTTGTTTTTCTTTCCTATGATCCACAAATTCAGAATTCTGCTGCCAAGTTGGCAGGAAATCTACAATATTAGGTATGCCATTCCTGAAAGGGAGACTGTCACAGAAGTGATGGTCCCCCAAATGTGGGTATATTCTCTGCTCCAAATCCTGGCTGACCACTGGCCTATTCACAAATTTGTAATCCAGCAAACAACAGGTAGAAATAAGAGAGTAGTCCTCAGCTAACTGAATGGGAATATGCTGGGTAACATTTGTGAGTTTGCTGCTGTTTGTACTGAAGCAATTTCTCAATCCATCACAGCTCAGCCAGGAAAAGTCTAAAGATTTATTATCTTAATTTATCACAGGAAAAGCTTAGACCAAGAACGTGGCCTGGAACTGCTGAGCAGTTTCAGAAAGCAAGAGACTCACTAAGATTATGAGTTCCCAAAACCAAATACTTGACTGACCATAAAAACTACACAAGGCACAGAGAAATTCAGACAGCCAGGTAAAGAACAAAATAGCAGCTGAAAGTGTATAAAAATTCAGTCCTCTAATGGCTCCTGATTACACTTTGAATAAACTGTTCCCGATAAGCTGTCCCTTGCTTTCCTATTTATAGGAAACACCAGTCATTCTATAAATTAAACTGTCTGCCTTTGTTCTTCCTCTGGCATGCCATTCATATCCGTACCTAAGAATGAGAAGATCCTATCATTTATTGTCTAAACTGAAAAACTTTGAAGAGGAAAGGAAGCTTCCTAAATAATCACCTAAGTGGGGGCGGGACACTGGTCTGATGTACATTTGATTATCTACCAATGAATGTACATTGTCTACTGGATTTAAAGCTTTTAAATGGAGAAATTAACATAAAAATAGGTCACAGTCTGGGGATATCACCACATTAACAGCCATAAAAACAGACACAAAACAATTATGAAAGGTCAACACTATAAATAAATGCTTGTTAAAAATAATAGCATAATGTACAACAAAATACCTGTGGAAATGATCAACTGATACAGCATATATTCAAATTAGATTCCCTGCAAGGATAGAGTTTAGAAAATATTTACAGTTAAAATGACAGAGTTTGGGGGGCTAGATAGATGGCTCAGGGGTTAAGAACACTGGTTGTTCTTGTAGAAGACCCAGGATCAAATCCCAGCACCCATATGGCAGCTAACAACTGTCCATAACTCCAGTTCCAGGGGATCAGGGGCCTCTTCTGTCCTCCGCAGGCATTGCACGACACGGGTGCACTTACCTACATGCAGGCAATACACTCATACACATAAAATAAAAATAACAAATAAAATATATTTTTTTAAATGACAGAGTTTGGAGCTGGAGAGATGGCTCGTGGTTAAGAACATTTGCTGCTCTTGCATAGGGCCTGGGTTTGGTTCCCAGCGCACACATTGCAGCTTCACAATTGCCTGTAATTCCAACTCCAGGGAATCTGATGCCCTCTTCTGGCCTCCATGGGCACTGCTTTCATGTGTACATTATGTATACACAGATGCACACATACACATGCAATTAAAAAATTAAATAATATGGGGCTGAAGAGATGGTTCAACAGATAAGAGTACCGGGTGCTTTTGCAGAGCAGATTTGATTCCCAGCACCCACCTGGTAGCTAACAACCCTCCTAAGTTCAGTTCCAGGGGATCTGATACCCTCTTCTTAGTTCCATGGGCATTTCACAACACAGGTGTACCTACCTACATGTAGGCAATACACTGATACACATAAAAAATAATAAAAAATATTGTTTAAAAACTTGTAAAAATTCAATAATATGTTTAAATGTTACAAAAATGATGGGGAGAAAGAAATAAAAAGATTTGAAAAAAAAATCTACATGAAATTGACCTTCTATAGAAGAGTCACCAGAAACAAATTTAATGGATAAAAGATAATAAAAGCCAAAAGACAATGGAAATCCTGAGAGAAAAATAACTGTTATTTCATAATTCTATAGTCATCAAGATTATTGTTGAAGAGCTGTGTCAACATAAAGATAGTTTTAGGTAAATACACTAAGACAGAGAATTTCATACTCATAGATCATTCTGACTCTAGATTTTCTTATGACTCTGCTACTCACAGCCTTCAGATCTCATTTGAAAGAACACCAAAGAGACATTCTTTGATCATCCTTCATAAACAAATAGTAAACCTTCTTCCCCTAACCATTTGTTATTTTTCTTCTTCCCAGCACTGACACCAATAATATGCATAATACATATTTTATATATAATATATATGTATATTATATATATTTAACCCTAACAAGATAGAAATTCCATTATAGTAGTGAGTTTTCCTGTTCATTGCTGTTGCTTTGGCACCTGAACCTCTACCTAATGTGAAGTAGATTCTGTACGGACGGTTTTGAACAGGTAAATAACTAAATGAATGTTCATGTAAAGGAATACTAAAAGAATATCTTCACATGAAAGCGAAAATAGTAGGAAAATGCAGCATAAATACTGGCTAAAAACTTAAAAATGGGTGTCTATTAAAGGCTAGGAAAATAAGGCAGAAAAATTTTACTAGAAAAATCTACATAGAAGGAGAAAAAGAGAAACATTTGAGTTAGTATATTCCTTTTATGACTTGGGAGAAGAATGAAGACATAAAATATTACATTATCAAGTGTACATGGTAGCATTTGCTGTATTTCATACAATGGATTTTGATTATATTTAGACCTCCTCCCCCATCTCTACCCTCGACTTTGTGTCTTGTATTTGCAAATGGAAAACCTTATAGGTAATCACTCAAGAATATAATTGTAAAAATGCAAAATACAAAAAATAGGAAAAAATTAGAATATATGTATATACACATACAGACACACACACACACACACATATATATATATATTCAATTTTATAGATGATAAGACAAGACAAAATAAAGAATAGAAAAATGTAGGGGTAAGCTTGATGACTGAGCGTGCATTGAGCATGCATGAAGCCCTGGGTCACATCCCCAGTACCAGCAGAAAATAATATATGAAATAGAAGAGTGTAAAGAACTATAAATAAAATTGAGTTTGAGGGTGATCGAAATAAAGATATAAAATACAGACATGACAGACTACGGGATAAACTATATTGCATGTATCAAAAACAGAATTGGAGCTGTAGAGATGACTCAGCGGTTCAGAGCACTGGCTGCTCTTGCAGAGGACTCGGGTTCGATTTCCAGCTCACACTGTGGTTAACAACTGTCCGTAACTCCAGTTCCAGGGGATCTGATGCCCTCTTCTGAGCTCTGTGGGCATTGCACAAGGGTGCACTTAGATACATGCAGGCAATACCTTCATACACATAAAATAAAAAATATATATATTTTTAAATTCAAAGCACATAAATAAAAAATTGAATTGCAAGGAGAAATCAACAAATGCATAGACTTTTAATAACTAAAATCTCAATCAAATTCATTATTTATACGATTAAAAATTAGAGTCTTATTGATAATTATGTGTTAACACATACTAAAATACACTCGAACTTTCACCAAAATGGCAGTATGTTAGGACATAAGACAAGTCTCAAGAAACATAAAAGGGATTTCATATCCTAAAGATCATCTTCATTCAACATGAGGCATTCAGTTGAGAACAACAACAAAAAACATTACTCATGAATACTGAAAGATATACTGCAAAACTTCAACAAACAAGGAAAAAAAGACAGAAAAAATAAGATAACAGAAGG